AAAACATTAGGGAGACCTCAGGACTGAAGTAGAACCGCGTCGACGTGCACGAGGCGCGGTGAGAAGAGTGGCGAATTTTTAAACGACGCAGAAATGAAGAAAGAATTCACAGCGAGAGAAACGTAAGCACTTTAACGATACTGTAAAGAGCATTATGGTAACGCGGTCTGGTTTTAAGTGCCGCGGAAGCGTGCACGGAACAATTAGCTGAAAGGGAGCACGAATCTACATAATCGACTTTTGAGAAGGAAATTTTGAAAAGGCCAGTCTTTTTTAGTAGAATCATCCGGTGCAGACGAGGACAACATTCGATTACGCTCGAGTCAGTAAAAGGACGATGCGGTTCGCTTTTATGTAGAATAATCTAATTGATGAACGAGCAAAATTCGATGCTCAGATGCGTTGCAATTCTCTGCTAGAACCGCGCTTCGTTGTTTAATCATTCTACAGTGTGTTCATAAGAACTTACGCTACATGGCGTTCGAGTCCGACCCGACTAAAAAAACGCTAGACCTTTCGGAACATAATACAGTAATTTATCCCTAACTGACGCTCAGATTGTTCACAAAAAATGGACAATTTTGGGAGAGGAGATGCGATTGTTCAAGCCTTTTGGCTCGTTTTTACAGTTACCGATTGCCAATAACTATGAAAACGAGCCAAAAGGCTCGATTAATCGTATCTTCTCTTCCCGAATTGTCCACTCTTGTGGACAATCTGAGCGTCAATTAGAGCGACATTACTGTAAAATGTTTTTCAACTTATCAATGCGAATAACGAAATTTCGATTAATCAAATTTTATCCGAGTATTTTGTCCGAACATCCCATTTTAATATTTATGTACAACGAATGCCACAATATCCGCGTCGATCAAATTGAAGTGCATAATAATTTCATTAACATAAACGTCATACGGAATTGAATACACGGTAATGTGGCTTATAAATTTGAATATTATGGCGTTCACGTGATTTTGCATCGCGATGAGAATGAATGCTGATGCGTTCACGTTCGCGAAGTTGTCAGAGAATTGTTCACGATTCAGGAGCGGTTCTTTTTAAGTAGAACGTGCCAGTCATAGATCGGACGACCGAAAGTTCCCTCGAACTTCGTTCCCGTTGCATGTAAAGATAATCGAAGAAGACAACTTTGTTCCCGTCGCGTGTAAAAATAATCCAAAAAGACACGGCGTTCCTTTCTCCGGGCGCGCGCGTACTATCTGGGCCGAGATCGGGGCGAAAAACGAATTGGAAACGCGAATCTGCATATTAGCCATCCAACGGGGATACGGGCGACGATCGGAGCGGTATCAATCAGCTTTCGGATAGCCCCCGAGAAGCTTCGGGCGCCTCGAATGGAGGGCCGACGGCATGAAAGCGGCTCGCAGATGCGCGTCGTCGCAAGATGGAATTGATAAACGCGCGCGTTTCTCATAAAAGCTCGCGCGTCATAGAGCGCGGCTTTCGCCCGGGCCGAAATTGAAACACCCGCCGGATCGTCCGCGGCCAATATGAGAGCCGAGGGTCTCCTCTAGCTCTGGCCGTTTTGATCGATTCCCGCGAATCATCCGGAAATATCGGGGCCGGCACGACGGACTTCGAATCCGATTGATTCCTCGACGTACGTCCCGACTCCGTGTGCGTGCCACGTAAAAATGCCGCGGGACCGGCGGGGAAGCGGACGACGGGCCGACGGGCGAGGGATAAAGGATATCTCGCATGGAAATGAATCGCGATCGGGGCCGAAGTGGCTCTCGTCGATCGACAGATAGCCGCGCACGCCGGGCAATAATTCTGAAAAATTGTTCCGCCCCTCTGAGCTCGGTCTGAGATTTCAGCGCATAAATCCTGCTCGTTCCCCCGGATTCGCGTGATATATCGGTGTTTGCAAGTGTTCGCGGCGAGATATTACAATCGTATATTCCCGATGTATTGATACAAAATGGCTTTTCGTGCCGGGAACCTTGCACGAACCTTGCTCCCCTATCGCTGACCCTGATCGACTCGGCCCCGTTTCCACGCGGATTTTAATCGGGGCCCCTCTCCGATCGAGCTACTTGATCTTTACCGACACGTTTTTAAGGGAATTCGCGAACGACTTTGCGGGTTCGTAGCTTTCTCGAATCGGAAATGTTCTTGCGATTTTATTCGTTCAGCTGTGGCTCTTTGAGAAGTTCGCACGGTTAATATTACACGGCGAAAATATTTTGTTGTTTTTAGCAGCTACGGTACCGAACGCCTCTTAGAATGCAGCAACTTTTTGAAACTGGATTGAATTAATTATATCTTTTTTTTAGATGGTAATTTAGTAGACAATGACTAAAATACTTTTCTTTAATTTTGCTGTGGCTAGAAACTTTTACACGGTATAAGTATTTAACTCGAAATATGTTCGCATATTTGTAATACTTTGCAGCACTTTATTTTAATACTTTAAACTTTGTATTACTTTGTATCACTTTATTTGAATATTTTAAGCTTTGTATTGCTTTATATCACTTTATTTGAATACTTTAAACTTTGTATTACTTTATATCACTTTATTTGAATATTTTAAGCTTTGTATTACTTTATATTACTTCATTTGAATATTTTAAGCTTCGTATTACTTTATATCACTCTATTTGAATACTTTAAGCTTTGTATTACTTTATATCACTTTATTTTAATACTTTAAACTTTGTATTACTCTGTACCACTTCTACTTAATACTTTAAACTTTGTATTACTTTTTGTCTATCACACAGAACAATAAAAAAAAATTCTGAAATTCAGACACGATTCATGGTACATACAAGTGTACAAAATGCGAATAAATGGGTATATTAACAACGGGTTATTCCACGTTCAACAGAAGGAATTTTCCAGTTGGCGTAAGAAATCTTTTCCATCTCCAGACTTTTAGAAAAGAACTTGTGAAAACGAGAAGTCTAGTAGACTGATCCCTCGATCATCTCAAAAAAGAATTCAAATCATCCAATCCAGTTTCGAGAATGTTATTGCATGTTAAAAGGTGTCCGAACGGTGAAAACGGGAATTTGCATGAAACTGTTTGATTGTCAGAAATCCGACTGAAATACTTGTGATGAAACGTGAGATCTCCGTTCTGCAAGCATTTCGATCGAGCTTTTTCGTGCGTTCGTCTTTTTACGGTCGAACGTCGAGCACCTGAAATCGTTCTGCGTGCACCGGCAATCTCAATGAAGTTACCGTGCTCGGAAATGATTTCCGAGGTTCATTCACGTCCGCGGAACTTTGAAAGCCGGGGACAGAATGCGTTGATAAGTTCGGAATTTTACGAGATTACACCCTCTCGTTTTTGGGGGAACACAGAGAAACCACCCGGGAACTTTCCTATTCGGTGTCCGAGGACGCGGGTGAATCTTTTCGCGCGACAAACTTCCGCCGAAGACTGCACGCCCCCAGTAATTGCGTTTCTCCCATCGATAATTTTTTCCACGATCGTCCTTTGCCGGGAAGTTCGTTACAGACTTCAGGGAAAAAATTGCTTTAGCAAAAGTTAGGGTGCTCGATGATTAACTGCAAATTAGTCGACAAATCGAATTCCCGCCATTTTCGAGCCTCCATCGTTCCGTTCCAATATTCCATCGAACACGTGATGAACATTTAATTTCTTAACCTCCGTCGGACGGACGCAGGGTCCGAATGGACCCGCGGTTATATACACCTGAACGTCGACAATCGTCTCGAGCTACCAGACGTAACTAGATTACAGGTGCGACTATCGATTATCGGTAATATTATTGATATTATGTTATCTCGGCGATGTCGTCGGTGTATCAATGTCCTATCGATATCTAAACGATATTATATATCGATAACATCGTTGAGACATTGTTAAGTCGAATCGAAGGGCTGCACTGATTACATATTGTACACTGTATGGTAGTGGAATGAATTTTTTCGGAAAGAGGACAAGATGCTTAATTAGGCAAAATGGATTCATTACAAAAATCTGTGTTACTTCGGGGTCTGTCTATCAATTTCTATGCAACAAACAATACACCGGATGAACAACGTTGTTGCTTTAACATTCGTCTAACATATAATACAGAGAAAATAAACGGAACACGTATTTCATAAGTACATTGAGATAGAAGATAGAATATAGAATAGAATAGAATAAAAGAATGTAGAATGTAGAATAAAATATAATATAATAGAAGAATATAGAATAGAATATAGAATAGAAGATAGAATAAATATTCTGTCTACCTCATGAATACTTTAACTTATTCTCAATCATCGAACAATAACAGAACTTTTAAAAATTGTTATCCCAAAGATAGAAACGAAAAGATTCGATCGAGAGAAACATGTATCATAAAAATACTATTTTATACAGTAATGTCTCCCTTACTGACGCTCAGATTGTGCAGAAAAATGGACAATTTGCGAAGAGGAGATACGATTGTTCGAGCCTTGCAACTCGTTTTTATAATTACCGATTGACAACAACGATAAAAACGGGCCGCAAGGCTCGAACAATCGTATCTCCTTTTCCAAAATTCTCCATTTTTGTGGACAATCCTGAGCGTCAATCGGGGAGACATTACTGTACGGTGTCCGACCGTTGCTCGACCTTTCCACTTCGCGCGTACATTTATTTTCAATCTCCCGCTGCCTCGTCCTTATCATCCAGCGCCGAGCTCTCGCGATAAATCACACGTGACTAAATTATCCGACTAATGCCCGGCTTCCCTACCCGGAAGAAACTGTAACGACGGCAGCCGTAAAATCGGTTGAGCGATTTCGGTTTTACGATGGCGCGGTTCAATTTGCCCGCTCGTCCGGTATCGAAGACACAGAGTATGGGGGAGGGGGGGACTGATAAGACGAGGCGAGATAGCGCGAGCGTAATTGGAGCACTGAAGTAGCGCGGCCGGCTAACTATGCACAGGGCGCCGCGGCGTTAGTATTCGGTCCCATTGCCAACGCTTGGATCCAATTTAATGTTCTGCTCGCTCCTTGGATTTCAGATCTGGACACGATGCTATATGGGTACACGAACAACATATACGTGCTGGACCACACGCCCGAATCCTTGCCGGTGAGTACGATTCAGAACGCACAGTGGGCGCCTGACGAGCGGAGCAGCGGGGCGAGGGGGGCGACGGGGTCAGAAGAGGGGCCAATTAGACGCAACTATTATTGCGGATTGCGTTACCCAGCGCGTGTACGCGGTGCTTTTAAGTTGATTAACGAGGATTGCGCGGCACGTAGACGCGCGTTCACTGATTCCAAATTAATATCGAAGCGGGGTCGGGCTACGTACGGTTCGGGAATTCGACCGGCGCAGGTATTAGCCGGCCGAATTTCTGACAATGAAAAAGCGTAATCGCGTTCCCCGACCGCTCCGCGCCTGGTTCCGGTTTTTCGGAGGGCCGGCTTTTTACGCTCCGGCGTAATTAACTGTGACCTAATGGAACGCCGGCCCATTTTTGCCCTCCGCGCGTTCATTTTCACGGTAAATTACTGTAATGATAGCGACGGGCCTGCGAAAGTATGCGACAATAATTGACACACGTTTCGGGACGCGGAGATTCGACCAGAAATTTCGCATCGCTACGAGAGACAGCGATATTTTTATTCGGGTCTCGGTGAACCACCAATTATTCATTCGAAGGTGAACTCGTAGCGAGGATCGTTAACACATCACTCAATAAGTCTCCGGTCTAGCTAAATTAATAAATTACTGTAATGATAGCGATGGGCTTGCGAAAACATGCGACAATAAATGGCAGACGTTTCGGGACGCGGAGATTCGACCAGAAATTTTGCATCGCTACGAGAAACAGCGATATTTTTATTCGGGTCTCGGTGAACCACCAATTATTCATTCGAAGGTGAACTCGTAGCGAGGATCGTTAACACATCACTCAATAAGTCTCCGGTCTAGCTAAGAAAAACAAATTCTTTTTTTTAGAAATTCGACTTTATTCGTCAACATACTCTTCTTCAAGAATGATACATTCATTCCAACGCTCCTCTAACTTTTCGACGCCTTTTTTGTAGAACGATTTGTCTTTGTTCTCACAACAGGCCTCCGTTTCGGGAATCGCTTCAGCATTTCCGCCAAATTTCTTTCCCTGGATCGTCTTTTTAATGTCTGCAAAAAGTACGGTGGGTGGGGAAGCAATTCGAAGCGTAATTCGTTCAATTTAACCATCGCTTAACCGCGCTCCGAATCGTCGACACGTTGTCGTTTTTGATCCAGTGTGAGCAAACGCGGCACCCACTTCGAAAGCAATTCACACATACTCAAATTTTTGTGTGTGTTGTGTTGACGGGTTTGTCAACAGTGTTGACATATATGCGTCAGACCGGAGACTTATTGAGTGATGTATTACAGTAGCGAAAGAAGTAATCTTTGAATGTGTAAACGTGAGCACAGGATGTAGAATACGTTGTTTCGTGTACATCGATTCGTCTGCCTGGCCACGATCGGCTAATTCTACTTACTACGTTGGACTTCCTAAAATCTACAGTGGTATGGGTTCGATCTGGTCAGACGGAACCTAAAGGAAATTACCATTGGTGGGACAGTGCATGTCCCAGACAATACTCGGTGCCAGTAGAATCATCCGACCATGGTCAGACGTGGGCAAATTACATCGAATGCGTTTCTAAAATTATACTGCAACCGAGAATCGCGTGATCTTACACGTAGACTACAATCGTAGAAAACGGGCAATGGTTGTGAAATGTCTGACCATGGTTAACCCTATCTACTTCTCTATAACCTTTACTTTTCATCGCAAAGAAGAAAGCAAGAATTAAAAGCAAGATTATAATTTCTAGCTAAGAAAGTGAGCCGTTAAATAATTTACCGTGGACCTTTATGCAAAATAACAACTTCCTGCATCTGTTACAAATTAATAGGAGTAACTTGGAAGCTGCGTTCTTTCTTTAACAATTTTAGTAGATCGAAAGTAGCGTATCGACATTATTTGACGCTTTTTATCTGTTCAATGTCTCAAACTATGCAAACTGATTTTCCTCATAACTGTATAAAATCCGCAGTCCAGTTCTATCGCGAAGAAGAATCTCTTCTAAAAATTTTCTGAAATCCCGTAAAGATCCTTTTTAATCGTTATTACGATCGTGTATCGGCTGCGAACGGACCACGACCGCGTTCTCCGTGTGCGTGTGTGTGTACAGTCGCGCGTATATAATGTTCCGTGTGCCAGGTACACAAGGCCGAATGTAATTTGCAGGAATCTCGATTTCGTGGTGACATAGACATTGAATTTCCGGTATCTCGCTGTGGAGAATTGAATCGATCAATCAGTCGCAGTTCAGGGTAATTAGGTGGGCACGATAAAGTGTTTACCAGGACGCGACGTGTGCCAGGGAACCGGTTTAGATTTCGTCCGGAGAGACTTCTCTGTCCACGGATAAATTCATTCCGCAGCAATTACGAGGGCGGCCGCGGGGCTTATAAAAATATTTTACTTGCAGAAACAAGTTGCCCGCCGAATTAACACCGGCGACGGCCAGCCGGCCGGCTTGGCGAGCTTATTTATTCGCGGCGGCCGAGGCCGCCGCTTGCTTCGATGTTTGAGCACGATTATCGAGCCACCGTTTGCGGATTTCCGTGGACTCTTCGCGAGAGTTAACAGGCTTTAATCGGTCTGCACACTGGGCCACAGTGATTCCCGTGCTGCACCGGCATCGACAACAAGCGATAACTGGAATGCGGATGGTCGTTCGACCGTGTCAAAAATATATTCCGACGAATGCCGCGTCTGCTAGAATTATACGAATCGAAGAAAAAAAATTCAGCTTTTATTTAGTGAACTGACACAGCTTGTAATTCGTTGGAAGCGTGGAAGCGTGGAGAAAACGCAAGCTTAAGGTTGCAAGGCAAGGCGGCCGATCATTGCGGGATCTTTCTACTTGGAACGGCGTGGATGAAAACTCTTTTCCTTTAAATCGACGCATTGCTATAGTTTCTCTTTCGCTTAATTTTGTAATTAATTGAAAGTAAAGGATTGTGGGAAACGCACAAGCTTGAGATTTGTCAATATCTGATTAGTAGTAGCATCATTCTACTTGGATCGATGTGAATAAAAACTGATTTCCTCTAAATCGACGCACTGCTATAGTTTCTCTTTCACTTAATTTTGTAATTAATCGAAAGCAAAGAATTGTGGGAAACGCACAAGCTTGAAATTTGTCAATATCTGATTAGTAGTAGGATCATTCTACTTGGATCGATGCGAATAAAAACTGTTTTCCTTTGAATCGACGCACTGCTATAGTTTCTCTTTCGCTTAATTTTGTAATTAATCGAAAGCAAAGAATCGAGGTGCACACGTTACCATGAAATTCATCGACGTGACTAACCACTGTCGGGTCATTCCTCTTTGAATAAAAAATCCTTCGCTCGATATCGTCGTTCTCGTTAAAGCCTCTCCTCGTTCAGTTCTCAGTGAATAAATAAGTACAAAAAAAAATCGTGTCTCTTCCGAGGACTCGTTGGACTGGCCGGCTACAATCGGGCTCCTTTCTCCTCCGTGTGAAATAATAAAATACAAAGGCAGCCAGCCGAAGAACGCGGCAACTAGAAGCACAGTTGACACTCGGCCGATTTAATAAACGCTCCCAATATCGCGTGCACATTTACCATTTCGTTCGAGCAACTTCCTGCCGGCTCTTCGCGACATCCGAGCCCCGTCTCCGGAGAAAAGCGATCCAATCAGCGAGCACTGTGTACAAAACCGTAAGAGTGTGCGCAAAGAAACTTCGGCTATCCGGTATCCGCGGCGTGGAAACTTCGCGTCGCTTCGAAAATGTCCCCGACTAGGGAACTTCCGCGGAAAATAGTCGAGCGACGTGCTCGCGGTAACTTCAATAAACGAGCTCGTTACAGAACGCCGCCCGCGCCAGGAACGCTTCCCGGTGAAAATCGAGTAGCGCGCGTCCAATCGTCGAATCTGCAGCAATAACGAGCGTCCCTCGGCGACGCCGGCGATGACTATTCGAGCGAGAAACGTTCCCGAAAGGTTTTAATTCGCGGCCGAGACGCAACAGAGGACATTTTCGCCCGAGTCCCGCGGGGCCCGGTGCACCGACGGGCCTGCTAACCGACGACGGAATTTTCGAGGGAGGAAAAAAGGTCGCCGTTAACTTCGCCTCTTCTTCCGCTCGAGCTATTTATCAGCGCGCGTGCGAAGGAAAGTTCGCCTGCTCCTGGAAATACGGGAACAGGATACGTCTCCCAGGGGAGCGGACTCTGTCCGGCCGCACCCGATACATCGAATCGGGTTTCGACTTGTTATCTACCGGCATTTGATCTCTTCGCCGTTTCCCGTACGCTCCTTTTGTCTGCCACGAGAGATCCTCGGGACGAACGGCTCGTCCGGACTCGTCCTTACTTACAATGGATCGAATACTGTCCCTTCGTGGATAAAGGGCGCCCTCGTTTTACGAGAACAAATTTTTCGATCTCCCTTTCCGTCTCTGTGGCGGAATTCGAGGATCTGTGGCCGCGAAACAGAATTAAAAATGAAAAGATTGAAAGCAGTCTTCTTGCGGTCTTTTCTAAAGGATTCGCGTTCTATTATATATTCTATTGTATTAAGTTAAATTATTGTATGAATTATTAACATAATTTATATGTGTAATATTATTATATATAATTATATATATTGTTCTATTATATCGCGTTCTATTATGTTAAATATCCTATTATTAAACACCGCCTCGATTGTGACCCCTTTTCGAAACAATAGCACAAATAATACAATAAAAAATAGATAGAGCATTTGAAAATGGATACAAAGATTCTATCTATATTTTAACATTGTTCCTTATAAATTCACTCGATCTTCATGTGTTTAGCTGCTTCCACAGTCTGGCTCTGTTTTAATTCACGGTAGTACAAACAATGAACAGTAACGCTTTAAATAGTATTATATTTTAATTTTTATTATATTTTAATTATATTATATATATATAATTTATATGTGTAATATTATATATAATTATATATATTATTCTATTATATCGCGTTCGATTATGTTAAATATCCTATTATTGAACACC